AGAGCAAGAGATAGATAGATATAGATATATATCTAAAAAATATAACTATTAGATTGGCAACAATTTATCTGTTATGTTTCAAATCCCAGACCAAGCTTTTTTTTTTTTTTTTTTTTTTTTACACAAAAGCGGTAGCACACAACAAAACACACTTAATAAAAAAATAATAGTAATCTTCCATTTACTTATAAATGAAGTTCATGCCTCGCACCTTCAGAACAAAAGCATCCAGAATATTTTGAATATTTCATTATACAGTGGTACCTCTATTTACGAAATTAATTGGTTCTGGAAGAAATTTTGTAACGAGAAATTTAAAAAAAAAAAGTAGAGATGCGTTTTACATGTCAATGCCCTAATTCGTTACAACCCGACCCAAAATGCAGACATACATGTTTTGTAAAGCATAAAAATGCATCAAAATATGTAACAAATACATGTTACAATTAGATTATCGCACAATAAATGAGAGTTGTGGATAATGTGAAAAACAAAGAATAGAGTTAAGAATAAAAATGATCGTCATTTGACTTTTAACTGCGTCTTCAGTTCATGTTCTCTCTCAGAAGTGGTTTTTGCCTGGTGTTTTGTAAAGAACTGATCCAAGGACGTTTGCTTTTGTCGGCTTTTAACAATCCTTCAAAAATGTCCAAGGCAAGCATCAGCACAGTGAGCGATCGCCCGACAGGTGAACATTTTTTCTGGGTGATTCACATCGGAACACCCCATTGCCCGAGGGGCGAATGACAAAGACGCTGCGTAGACACATTCGATCCATCCATCCATTTTCCAATCCTCACAAGGGTCGCGGAGGGTGCCGGAGCCTATCCCAGCTGTCTTCGGGCAGTAGGCGGGGGACACCCTGAACCGGTTGCCAGCCAATCGCAGGGCACTCAGAGACGAACAACCATCTCGGGACAATTTTGAGTGTTCAATCAGCCTGCCATGCATGTTTTTCGAATGTAGGAAGAAACCGGAGTACCCGAAGAAAACCCACGCAGGCCTGGGGAGAACATTTAAACTCCACACAGCGAGGCCGGAGCTGGGATTGAACCCGGTACCTCTGCACTGTGAGGTCGATGTGCTAACCACTGGCCCACCGGGCCGCCCTAGACACATTCTAACTCCACAAATAAACACATACGGTCGAGGTCCCTCTTAGCCAATGGGATGCCAGGATGATGTTCAGTAACAGCCAATGGCAGAGCAGCTATAAGTACTGTATGTTGCATTGAGGAAACTCGGAGCTGCGATTAGTGGCCCCTACTGTATTTTTTACCTTTCGTATCTTGAAATTTCTTTGGTAACAAGAGGCAATATTTTCCTGTTGAGACGTTTCGTAACTTCAACATTTCGTATGAAAAGAAGTTCGTAAGTAGAGGTACCACTGTGTTCCTTCAGTTTTAAAAGTCTGAGATTCAATGGAGATCAAAGCTCGTGGAAAAAGCCGTCCTTGATCAGTCCTGTTTTGAGTCTTCTCAATGCTGAGAATGACCGCTCCGCTGACGCCATGGTAGCACGAGCTGGAACTTTGTCGCCTCTGAAACAGTTTGAAGAGATCCTTTTGGGCTAAAAAGCTGAGAAGCTGTCCAGGATTTTTACATTCATCCCTCATAGTTTGTGAGCTATATAACCCAGCAAGATCTGCCTTCATTCATTCATTCATTCATTCATTCATTCATCTTCCGAACCGCTTGATCCTCACTAGGGTCGCGGGGGGTGCTGGAGCTTAACCCAGCTGTCTTCGGGCAGCGGGCGGGGTACACCCTGAATCGGTTGCCAGCCAATCGCAGGGCACACAGAGACTTAACAACCGTCCACGCTCACATTCACACCTAGGGACAATTCAGAGCGTTCAATCAGCCTACCATGCATGTTTTTGGAATGTGGGAGGAAACTGGAGTACCCGGAGAAAACCCACGCAGGCCCGGGGAGAACATGCAAACTCCACACAGGGAGGCCGGAGCTGGAATTGAACCCGGTACCTCTGCACTGCGAAGTCGACGTGCTAACCACTGGACTACCGGGCCGCCCAGATCTGCCTTAAATTTCACAAAATCTAAATATTTGGCATATTCCGAAAGGCTCTGCACTTTCATGGCATCAAAATGTTTTGACATTTCACAGAATTTTGAATAATCCATCAATCCAAGGAAAGCCAGCTTACCAAAACAATAAAACATGGCCTTCCGTTGACAGCTCATGTTGTCCAGAATGTTCCAGAAAACAAGTTTCCGATCTTCTCTAATCGACTGTCTGCCTTCACTCTCTGTCAAGTCAAGTGCGCTGCATCCATTCTCATATCAGCCACAGAAACTATCAAACTCTCCTGTCATGCGCTCGAGAGCTGCAACAGTGTTGTGGATGTACGTGCAAGACAATATTCAATGTCCATCACTTTGTTTTCAAGCACTCTAAACAGTGCGTTAGTTCAATTGAAAATGTCCTCAAATATGTCATAAGGAGGAAGCAGGTTGCTGCTTTTGACAACCATCATCAGCGTGTCATTATCCCAACTATAAGGATTTTCTGATCTGAAACAAAGTACGCAGATCATTTTGGTGCATGCTTGTAACCACACAGATAATCTTTTCGTGAGTACCAACCATTTGGTTTGAAAAGAGCGGAACTGCTGTCGTGAAGACTGAATCAAACCGTTTAGGTCCAGCCTTGGTCTTCCTTTATTTATTACCTCCTGCTTTGATCTGAAGGGATTTTCATTCACACTGAAGGGATTTTCATTCACAGTGTAGGCTTTCATATTGCTGTATTGTGTTTTTTTTACATAGTCACAAAATAATGATGTTTTTCTGAGAGTAAATGAGAGACTGTTTGCATTTGGGTGTGATTGAGGAAGAGGGGGTGCCAAGGTGCCACGAGCAAGGGGGCCGAACCCCTGGACTGGAGATCACAATCGGCACTTAAAAAGGCCCTCACAGCAGGACAGCCACTTCCAACAACAAAAGACGGCCAAATGTGGAAGACTATATCCACATCAAAGGACAATTCACCATAGGAAAATTCACACCTAATCTGACAGATGACGTTGATAACACCTGGACTGTACCCGCCCACTTGTCTATGCCTGGACACACACACACACACACACACACACACACACACACACACACACACGCACACACACACACACACACACACACACACGCGCACACACACACACACACACACACACCCTTTTTGGGGAATTGTATTAAAGATGGGTCAAGCGAAAGGCGTCTTTGTCACTGCCTCGCTACCCTCATGGTTAGAAGTTGATGACCCAGAGCTCTGTTTAGAATAATTGGCTTAATCTCTGCTGTATTAGACTATTTGTTAAGGATTAAATACTTTTCCGTGTTACTGACTCGATAGACGTTTGCGTGTGGTCATTCCTGAGCCCAACAACGAGCACCCCGGAAGTCCACCAAGGTATTTGATTATTGGTCAAATAGTGTGGGGGAAATTCCGCCTTCAGATCTAATGTCCAATTTAGAAAATTGTTTGACTTTGAAAATGTAATCCTCCATTTTATTGCAAGGGTAGGTGAGCGGGCAAAAAAAAGCTGAATGATGGGTGGCTGTACTTGACCCGCTGTCATGCTGTTTGTTCATTTGTTAGGATCCCCATTAGCTGTGCCCTTAGGCACTGCTAGTCTTCCTGGGCTCCTCTTATAAAACAGTACATAAATTTAAAAACATTAATTTTGAAAGAAAATACAAAAGCAGCATACACAGGCTCCAGGTACATCTACTCGAGTGTTTATTTTTCTGAAAACTTTTGATTTTTCCTCCCGACATTTGAATACATATGTGTACATTCTAAAAACAGTTTGAGATCATTAAACTTGTTGGTGAACTTCTTTGCCACTTTGAACGAACCCTGACGAAAAAAAGCCTGCGTGCACTTGCAAAAATTCCCTGCCCAGTGCGGTAAGAGAGCTGTTTGACATTGTCAGCTCAAAGAATGATTTGTGGCAGATGGATGGTCAGTCTAAAACACATCATCTTCTGGCATCCAAAACGCTCCAGCTAATCTTAAAAATAAAGTTTTCATCATGAACTGATGTAGCATTTTTTGTTATTCATTACATATCGTTAGTAAATCTGTGCAACACACGATGGCATAGAGTGTGAGTACTTTAACCACCTCTGGTTATACTCAGGACACCATTATGCCATTTATCCTATCATTTAAAGTTTTGCATTTATTCTATCGATTGCTACAGATAATGTTTACGATTATGCTTTCTCTGAATTGCGAGAGAACGTTGTGTTTCATCAACTGTCTATTTGGTACACGTGATTCCGTCCACGGAAAATGAGTGCAGGGTCTCTCAGCCAATGGCGTACACTGTGTGGACACGAAAGGCGGGGCTTCGCTTGGTGATTAGTGGGTGTGTGAAGTGTTGTCTTTTTCTCTCATTCGTTGCGACGTTTTATTAGAGTTGCAAGATGGCGACGGTGCATCTGAGAATCGGCGATCTAGTGTGGTGAGGTATCCATTAAATGTTCAAACATGCCAGTTTTTTACATACTTTTCTCTTCATTCATGAATGTTGTTTTATTTAGTGTGTAAAAAACGTGATCAAGCAGTAACTACGTGTAAATCCTTCAAGTGTTAGCCAGTTGGTTAGTTGATGGGTAACCCAAACAAATTGTTAGCCAAGCTGACTCAACATTCGTTGCTAGCTCCTTGCTAACGTTAGCGGAAAAACAAGCAGATGTTCTGATAATGGAGTCCTTCCCCGTTAATGAAATATCGCTTTATGGATACTATTCTGAACACGCAATTGACTGCCACGCGCTCTATCCATTCAAGTTTATATTGGAGTTGTCGTGTTGTATAATTTCCTACTCTGACGACGGGTTTTAGTAGCGCAGTTGCTTCAGCGGAAATCTAGATTAGCACGGGGGCGTTAACACGGGAAAGTTTTTTTTTTTTTTTTTTTTTTTTATATCCGTCGACTTGGCCGGGCCGGAACATTTGACATTTTGCTGGTGTTTATCATAGTTTGTGACTAATGTGTTGTTGAAGTGTCTATATATTTGAAGCTGCTCTTAATGCGGGCCTAGAGGCACTTGTTTGCGTTTCTCCTCGTGAATGATCCACCACTGTACAGACTTGAACAGTGAAACAGCGAACAAAAGGGACATTTTTCAACAAAGAGCCGTTTTGTTGCTAAATGTTAACCCTTCATACAATTCCCAACATGGAGTGTTGTTTTTGAATGTTTTCTTCTGGAAAATGCTCCACTGACGCGGAAAAACATGGGGTTGACATCAGGCTATTTCGGATGTTTTACAAGAACTGTTCAGTCAAAATTTGCGTGATGTTGTTATTCTTCACACGTGTGAGGATGTTACTGTAGAAAACAAAACAAAAACAAAAAAACAACCAGAACCCTTTCCTAATATATCATGGGTTATTCAATAACATGCACATTCCATTGAGTGTGCGTTAACAAGCACTTAAAACATATTTAGAATTTATATTTACCTTGTTGATTCAGGAATTATGTTATGCCGTGTCTGAACTATATTTTGGTTTTAATAAAGTATCAATGTTTATGTTGATCCATCTAGCATCCTATTTCAGTACTAGAATTGTGTATAGTATTTTTTCTACTTTCTACTTGCTGTACATGAGTAATAAGCATTGCCTAATACTTGTTTAAATTCCAGGGGGAAACTTGGCCGCTATCCACCATGGCCGGGAAAGGTAAGTAATAAAGATGCCTTCAATGAGAACAAATAATAAATGTCGCTTTTGCTCTTCAAAACACTTCTAGTTTATTTTTATTTTCAATTTAGATTGTTAGTCCGCCCAAGGATCTGAAAAAGCCAAGGGGCAAAAAATGCCATTTTGTGAAATTCTTTGGAACTGAAGACCAGTAAGTAAACATTGGTAGATGTTCCGACCGAGTTCACGATTATGTCTTCAACAAATAAAAATGATTACATTTCTCTTTAGTGCTTGGATCAAAGTGGAGCAACTGAAGCCCTATCATGCTCACAAAGAGGAGATGATCAAGATAAATAAGGGCAAACGCTTCCAGCAGGCTGTTGATGCAGTGGAAGACTTCCTTAAAAAATTGAAGGGGAAAGAACAGGTGAGGGTCTTGTCTGATTAGACTTAAAAAACTGACAAAGGATAATCTTTTCATTTCAAAACAGCAGTTTAAGTTCGTTTCTAATCAATCCAAAGTTAATGTGGATCTCAGTCATCCAAGATTCTGAGTCACAGTCATCCTGTCTTTGGTACACTCATTTAAGAGAACATGTCATTTGTTTCCTAACCATTTCCACAAATTTCCCTTCATGGATCAGAATTGCTGTAATATAAAAAAAATAAATTAAAAATATCATTAACAGCGTATGTTGCCATTTGCAGTTGGGGTTTGGAAGCCAAGGGGTGATGAACAAATATTACATTTCTCACAATATTTATATTGTACTTTTCATTACTCCATACAATATTCGATCTTCCCACACACATTAATCAAGATGACCTCGTTCCAGATGTTATCACTTTTTCTTGTATTGTGCCATCAATGGATATAACCTTTTAAACTCTGTTAAGTTATACATTTTTGGAACATGTCCAAATTGGAACTTTTGTAACTTTGAGGTCAATATTATAGCTTTTTCATTCTTGTCTCAAACACCACCACACTACTCCCCATTGGCCTGTCAGCACAGCAGGCTTGGGGCAGAAGGGATCAACCGAACTATACGAACAAATGTTGCCCATTGCACACTTGCAGCATGTGGGGTTCTGCCGTAACATTTACTGAGTGGTGAGTCTCGGCCGATATTTTTTAAGAGAGCCAAACATGAATCGCCATTGCATGGTGTGGTGACATCACATAATACAGACCATCAAATATACAGAAGCTTTTACCTATGTGGGGAAATAATCTCTTTCCGGGTTTAAGACAGCAAGACACAGCCGGCCGGCGTTGAGACAACACTATACAGGACACACATTTTGTTTTTTACATCAACATTGAGCCGTATTTACAACTGTCATATGTACCTCGGATGAAATAATGCGAAACCTCGCCATCAGCGCGCATTCATTCTGAACGGAGAGCTCAGCCTCATTCATTTGTCCACCTCTCTGAGTCACCGGCAGCTGCCATCTCCAAGGCAGGAACCATGGCTCTCTGGCCGGGGAAGCAGCAAAGCTCCTCTATATGGCAGGAGACCTCTCATTCAATTAAATAGGAGTCGGTGAGCAGTGCAAGCACTCACATTTTTTTTTTAACCCCAAAACCCCAATATTTCATCCATTAATACATATGAAATTGCAAATATGGTTCGCCGTTGTGGTAGAACACAATCATGTTTGTACAATAATACCTCATTTTTCATGGTTAACTGGTACCGGACCCTCTCTCGAAAAGTGAAAAACCACAAAGTAAGATTTGCCCTCCTAGGAATTAGTGTTGTTTTTGGCAGCAATTTCAGATTTAGTCTGAATCTTTTGGGCAAAAATATGCTTTTTAGTTTTAGTTACATTTTAGTCATTCCTATTCGTGATAGTTTTAGTCACAAATACTCAAAAATGTTATAGTCCGTTTTAGTTCAAAATAGACTTAAGATTTCGACCCAATAGCAAATACTTTCTGACCTACTAAGAATTATGCATTAAACACAGATAAAGTACTCGCAGCGGAATCAATGTTCATTACTCCAAAATAAGCCAAGAACCAAAACACTTTCTTTGGCAATTGTTGTGGGTTTATTTCTGTGAACCAACCTGCTCAAGTGCGATGAACATACACATGCCCAAAATATGAGCAATGGATGAGGAATGCTGTAAAGTATGAAACAAATATGAGACTTAAAGCAAAATAAATAAAGGCAACAATGTTTTAACAACATGTACTAGAGGGGACTCCTATCTGTAGTGCAGTTATGGTGTAAACTTTATTTAATCCTCAGACCTGACAGTGTGGATGATTTTACAACCCGATTCTATTACTGCAGCTCAGAATAACAATATTTATTTATTTATAATGGAAAAAAACTCTGAAGCCGCAAAACTTGAACCGTGAAGTGGCGAGGGATCACTGTATTGTGTTACTTTATATATTGCGTTTTTATGACTTGGCCGCTGTGTGGTTTTGCCTCGCTTGTCTAAAACCAGGAAATGGATGTGTTCCATTGTAACAGCTTGTCCCTGACAAATCTAATGGAAAAGTGGCCACTCGGGGACAAGCAAGGCCATCTTGGTGTGGAACTAGGCTAATGGAAAAGCACCATACGAGTAGTCATAGTTGTTTTTAGACATCTCATATGGTTAACACTGCTACACTTCAAAAAAATCATTTTGACTGTTGCTGTACACAATTTATAATGTGCTAAAGTAAAATTTCTTTGTCAAGAACTCTGAAGGTAAAGGAGACTCCAAAGGAAAGAAGACTCCTAAAAAACCACTAAAAATACTGGATGAGGACGATGAGGATCTCAGTGCCTTGAGGGACCCCTCTGAGAAGGTCAGTAAGACACTAACAGAACAGGACAAGAAAAACCTTCTGTCTATTATTCATAGAGGAGCCGTGCTGAGTTTTACACCACAAATACACTCACACCTCTGCAACAGGCCAATTCCTTCGAATATGAAATGAAACTGCTTGCCAGAACATCAATGTGGCAGCTGCCTTGAGAAATAAGAAACAGAAATATAATGTCTGTCGTACATGAAACAAAATACCACCCCCTTTGATTTGTTTGTTACAGTTAGGCCTCCTGTCTCGGGGCCTGATTTACTAAGATCCCAAATAGCAGGATCTGAACTGCGTTGACACGCTAACAGATTATGCATACTGTTGGTGGCTGCGTTGTGCCTAATATAAATAAAAGGGTGCACATGCAAAAACGATGTAAGCTCGATTGCACACGCAAACAGATGCAGAAGCTGATTGGCGAGCCATGTGCTTCCAGACTTCTGCTTAATGACCATAATTGCGAGAAGTCCCTATGCACTGTGGGAGGAATTATGCAAATATATTAATTTAGCGCAAACAATATTCAGGTTGCACCCTATCTGCTGCCTGAAGACAGCTGTCTCCAGCACGCCCGTCCGTGACCCTCGTGAGGATAAGTGCTTTTGAATGGACAGTGGAATTATTTCAAATCCAACACAAATTGCACTGGCTCATTTTGCAGCTTTAAAAAGTATAGCTGAATGGGTTTAGGGTCAGTTTGATGCACACCTCTATAATAACAAATTTGGTCAAATCACCTTTTATGATGTTATCAATACTGTAATCATATTCTTGGGGGTGGGTTAACAAAAACAAAAAAAAAAAATTTTAAAGACCGCAAAGGGTCCGCGAGAAGCTGCAAAACAATAGCGAGTCACATGGAGCAACATATACAATACTGTACTCCATGTATATGTAAAAAAAATATATATATATATTTTTTTTAATGTTTGAAACAATCCGTGATGCACTGAACCCGTGATAAACGAACCGTGAAGTCGCGAGGGATTACTGTATGAAAAAATATTGAAGAAAAATTACAAATAAAATGAACTGTGAATATGTAGTCCGCTGTAATTGTAAATTTTAGTGTATGCCGTGGGCTGCAAAACTGAACAAAAAACAGTGGATAAGGCTACTTTATTAGTGAACTGTACACAAGGAGGACCTTACACCATCTTGTCACTATGGTGATGGTTTTGTACTTGATATAGCTGAGCACCTTCTGTCCCTAGTTAAAGGGTTTAAGTAACCCCACAAAAGGTTTACTTACAATGATATGTTCTATCTGTACCTACTAATCTAAACAAGGCGTCCTGATTAATACTGCGTTTGTGGACTAAGAATTAAGCAGCAAAAACCCACCCATTTTTATCTCGAGGGGTTACCGTTTTGACACTAAAAGTTGGTCAAGCCCCGGGTAATGATCAGTCACGTCTCAGCTTGCAAATGTCACATGACCAAACCCAGAAAACGAGTGAGCCGTGTGTGGTCTTCACCTAAGTTGTGAGCAACTGTGATGACATTTTCAGTCAACAGCAAGTAGTAAAATGGCCGCCTCCTGAGATTGATAAAATTGGGTGGATTTTGATCTGTGTTTAGACTAGTGGGTGTGCATAAAACATATTGTAAATAACATTTTTCGTTGACTTCCCATTTAAACAAACAAACAAAAAAAAAAAACGGAACTGTTAGTGAAAGGGGGAAACATTGCTGTGTTACAGATAATACACCAATCATGCTGACAATTTATGGGAAGCTGGTAACCGTTAAAAGCTCAACTTTGTTTTATTTAACTGATTGTGAGTCTATGATAATTTGTTGGACATATCCATCGAGGATATACTGTACTGGGATAGTACACATATAGAAGCATAAAAATAAACTATGGCATTTTGCTTGGGACTCATTCAGAAGCTCCAAAAGTGCGCTGTTGAATAGCGTATCATGTTGCAGTCATTTTAGTTGGCATTTCAAAAAAATTACCCAAAAAATAGGTTATACCTAATATTTAAAGACGCAAACTCAGCCAACCCAACTCATCTCAGATTTTATGAATCACGTTGCATGCACTACATTAATCTATTTGGATATTCCTCCCACATCATGCAAAATAAACCGAGCTGCACTTTGCAGACCTAAACCTCATTGTGCCCGGTTTGTAGATCGGCGTGTACATTGTTTTGCGTTAAAAAAAGAAAAGAAAAAGTGGTTTATATACTTTTCTGTAACACTGCTTGGTTTTTGTGATATAAAAACAATGAGACCAAGATAAATCACTTCAAAAAATGTTTTCACCATTAATGTGACCTGTAACATCTACAAAGTAAATGAGAAAACACCCCATCTTTTTCATCAGCACACACCTGCACCATTTAAAAGTGCCTATGTTTAACCCCAAATAAAGTTGAGATGTTCTAATAGAACCTGATTTATATTTAACATCTTTTAGCATAACCCATACAGAGCTTCCACAGCATCGGAGGGATCTCATTGTTCAAAGGTATCAGTCAGGAAAAGAGTACCAAAGAATTTCCTAAGCATTAAATGTACCATGAACCACAGTGAAGGCAGAAATGATCATGGTATGTCTGGGCTGTAGGTGTGAGTGTCAAGACTGAAGCATTATCTGTAAAAGGAAACCATCCAGCCCTGATACGATTTGCAGAATCAACTGGAAATCTCCTAAAGACGTGGGGATCATTTGTTCCGGTCTGATGAAACCAAGGTTAAACTTTCTGGCCGTAATTTCAAACGATTATATTTGGTGTAAACACAGCGCTGTTTACAACCAAAATAACTACAGTTGGCATGGAAACCTGATAATGCCATGGCAATGGCAGGATCATGCTTTGCGGCTATTTTTCTTCAGCAGGAAATGAGCCTTAGTCAAGGTGGAGAGAATCATGTACCGTTCCAAATACCCGTCAATGTCAGCACAAAATCTTCAGGCTATTGCCATGAAGCTAAGAATAAAGACTAACTTCATCTTCAGCATGACATTGAAACGAGACGTATATTGTCACATTAAGATGTGTGCTTCACTAATAAATCGCAAATACACTGTCCTGTTGTAAAACACCAATGTCCTGAAAAGATTGGACTTTTTGAGTTTTGTGGGTCATAGGTCACATTAAAGGTTGAAAGCGTTTTGAAAAGATTCATCTTGGTCTCACTTTTTTTTTTTTTTTTTTATTATTATTATTTTTTTTTTAATATGACAAAATCCTGGCATTTGAAAAGGGGTGTGTATACTTTTTATCTCCACTAAGTAGTTCCAACCGTTAGTATGTTATACAACTCTGGTCTCAGTGAGGGAATGGCAAGAGATAAGACCATAACAGCGCTAGTTTTCGCAACAAATGGAGATTCCTTTTGGCTACAAACCTATAATTTTTCGTGTTCCCCTTTTCTATTAGTTTTGGCTAATGATGACTGGCTTTTTAGGTGGAACATGCCAAAGGAACTAAAATAGCACTTGACCGTCGCTCACACAGATTTTATTAAAGCATATTTTAGTGAACTTCAATGGAAGTGTCCAATTCCCTTCAAGAAGATACACACCATCTATGTGATGCTTTCCCAGCGAGTTCCGACACCTCTTTCCAGTGTGGCGTAAGGTTTATTTTCCTGATCATGAGCTTTGACTAGTTTTTTTTTTTTTTTTTTTTAGCAAGACCAGTAATTGGTCTCTGACACAAAAACACAGACTTGTTGGGGGAAAAATTACTGTGTAGTTTCAACCAAACATTTGTTCTCAGCCACAGTCGTTGGAAAAACTTGTTGACTGGACATGTAAATTAAGTCAAGTTGTTAGCTGCCTGACCTTGTTAGGTGTGGCGGTTTTTCTGGGTGATCATGGAAATTTTAATGATTATTTTGGATTGAAATCACGCTGAAAAAATAAGATTGTTCATTGATTTCAAACATTCGCAATTTGCCGATACCAAAACTCTACTTAAAATACAGTAATCCCTCGTTTATCGCGGGGGTTACGTTCCAAAAAGAACCAGTGATAAGTGAAATCCGTGAAGTAGTGCACTTTATTTTTTTACAGTTATTATACAATACTTAACTATATATATCCAATGAAATCAAACACCAAAACTTGTTTTCAGGCCCAATTACAACAAAAACAAACGTTTTCAACAAATAACTATAATAGTTTTTGGAAATACTGTACTGTCGACACGCGGCGCCGCCGACGCGTTCTGATTTAAAGGGTTAAAAGCATTAAAAAATGCACGAAAAAAAATCCATGAAACAGCGAAGCCGCGGAAAGTGAACCGCGTTACAGCGAGGGATCACTGTATAACTTGAACAACCCAAAAATATATTAGCAACAAGTAAAATTATAAGAGTAGAAGAAGAACATTACTACTGGACTTAATGTAACTTGCATTTCGCTGATAAGAAAGAATCTATTCCTGTGAATATTGCTGTTGCCTCTCTTTATTTGTTATGACAGTGTTTAAATGGATGTCCATCATGTGAAGGAATAGCACTTCAGGAACTCAATGCGCTCGCAATGTTTTTTAAACAGTATGTGTTGTATTTAAATATGCGATATATGTAATTGTTTTTATTTTTTGTTTAGTTTTACAGTAAAATCTGGGGTATCATTAAACATCTTAAAGCACACTCAGAGAGGGCAGAATAGCATACACGTCACATAGTTGCCGCATTCAGGGTGTGTTCACAGCGCAGAAACTGTTCAGCACATTATTCATTTTTCATTTTTTCAAACGGGTAGGCAAAATTGACATCACTATTACATTTTGATGTACACTATTTTCCCTGATTATAAATTGCTCTGGAGTATGAATCGCAAAAGCCATATATTCCATAATAAAGAAGAAAAAATAATTATATGTCGCACTAGAGTGAGTATAAATCACAATTTTGGGGGGTGGGGGAATTTATTTGATAAAATCCAACACCAAGAACAGACATGTTGAACAATTGAAAGGCAATTTAAAATAACAAGAAACAGGCTGAATAAGTGTACGATATGCTAATGTTACATGACCCATAAACAACGGACTGAGAACATGCCTGGAATGTTCACATAACATATTAAGAGTTATTCCGATAACAATATCATAAAGAACATGCTAACAAGTTTACCAAACCATCAGTGTCACTCCAAATCACCAAATCCAATGAAATCTTCATCCACTTTTCAACAACTCAGCCAACTCCTGAGGTAAAAGATGCGGCGCTTCCTCTTCTATGTCGCTTATGTCAGACTCGTTGTTCATTTATCAACACAGGTCTAGAGCACCTTCCTGTGGTTTAATGTGGAAAATATGAATGTGGATTTATGTTCATGTTTTGGTTTTGTGTCCATCACACTGGAGGTAATTTGAACAGTGGTGTCTTTAAACCTAAGAAATCGCCTGATTTTGACATCTGAAATGGGTACCCCCTGGAAATCTCAAATTCACCCTCTGTTTTAAAGGTGAATGTGTGTCTCTTTCCTCCTTTTAAAGGACTTAACTGACTCTGACCCTGAGCCATCCACTATTGAGAGGCTGGGGGCTGCACCTGGATTCAAATGGGAAAGCAGTGTAGGTGAACCCTTCCCACCAAGCTTGCCTTGCCTTGCCCTTCTTCTACCTCAACTTAACCCTTGGCTTTAATGAACAGCGATGCAGACCTTTTCCTTCTGACCTTTTGGTGCTTGCACTTGACCCCTCATTCTGTTTGGTTCCCCTTTTGGTTTTGACACATTATAGTGTGTCACGGTTTTACAATGGCGGATTTGTTTCAGTTGAGCGAGAAAATATTTAACCGAGCCACCAAGTATTTCATATAATTAAAGCATGGGTTGTAGCTCCGCTCTAGGGCTGTGGTTCTCAACTGTTGTCACCCTGGATCCCACATTCTCCTGTTGTCACTCAGTCGAGAACGATACAGAAAATGTATTGTTAAAAAATTGCCTTTGAAAGTATGTTCACATTTTAAATATACAGGCTTATAGTAAAGTCCTAAGTACAGTAAATTCAGTATTTGTATGAAAAAATGTGAAACAATTGAAAATCAGTCGACCTGTTATAAACCAAGCAACCTCTACATTTTTTTATTTTTTTTTTTATTTAAATAACTCCCTGTGTGACCCACCATTAATGAATCCGCAACCAGCTTTTTGGTCTCGACCCACCAGTTGAGAATCACTACTCTTGAATTTAGTTGAACCTAATCGTTGGCTTCAGCAGTTTATGGCCATGGATAGGTCCACAATTGAAAAGATTCCACCACTTGCCCGACAAAATTGACATAAAATGCAGCATGCGATGTGTAGCTGCATTTGAGAATTCACTCCAGAACCTTAAAAACATAATAATAATAATCAAGTGTTTTGTTTTTAAATCATTTTTGTTGGTCTTGATCTTAATTTCATTATTTAAAGCATGGGCTTTTCAGTGTATACTTTTTAGCTGGGTAACCATTTTTTTTCCCTCCTATCTGATGTTCTCATATAGAAAGATAGGTAGTATATTTATTAACTGCTGAACCCTCAGATTAGCTTCAGCTAAAGTTAAAGGAGCCCCTTTCCCTTTATCCTCAAAATGGACTGTAGTGGAATTGCCCCTAAAACCACTTTATTTGTGACTATTACGATTGGCTTTCATTCAAGCTATTGCCAAACAGCTGTTTGTTTTTTTTTTTTTTGTTTCCTCTACCTGAAAGTGAAGTGTCCTTTTTAATTAGGAATGAATGGAAAATTGCTCACTCACAATGGCCAAAAGTGCATTTCAAAGGATGTTTCGGTGACACAGGCATGTGCCAACGACTAGCTAAATTGAGCCATGGTGGTGCTTATGACACGGGGAAATGAAGCTCACTGCTAAAAGCCATTGGTCTGGGGCGCATAGGTTGCATGGCAGCCAAGGGCTGCCTCTCCTGTGGCCGTGACGTGTTCTCATCACTCGGAAGGAGCCGTGGAGCTCATACTTTGGCTACGGTCACACTGCACTCGTTTTATGTGGTTGTTCATCTTACAAAAAGAAATCCAAATTCTAATGTGAACGGAATGCTTTAGTGAAGTGACACGCACACATACAAAAACATGGAGCGACACACATGCACGCTAAATACAACGTTTGTGGTATGGTGTTTACGGAGGTAAATGTGGTCGTTACTGTGTATAAATCACAGTTTTGTTACAGCTGTGGCACAATTTCAAGGATTTTGTGCTTGAACTGACTGCATGTGTTAACATAGCGTTTGTGTGTGGATATTTGTTATTTGAGGGTCAAACCCTCCCGTGATCCATAATGCAAATGCCAGATGGGTTTTCCATTGAGGGTCAGCATTAAAATGGCAATGTAGCTATAAGAGACTGCGTGTTATATTTAAATTTACAATGTATGTCGTCATTTTTGTTGTGTGTTTAGTTTGAAAGGAAGCTGCAACTGGGGTTTGTATAACCTTAATGCATCCTCAGGGAAGGCAGACGAACACAAGTTCCACGCTGTAAGCAACGCGGTACATTCACAGCACAGGAACTCGAATACACATCCCACGCTATTCAGCGCATGAATAATTTTTCTTTGATTTGTAATGTTTTTATGATCGTGAGAGGTCATTTAGATTTGCCCAGCCCTATTCTCGGATTATTGCTGCACCGAAGTCTGTTCTTCGCCCCTTACTTTAATATTTACCGTCCTTGAAAAGGATTACTCGCTTGTACGGGAAGCGGAATGCTACCCATGATTGCCGAACGGAACGTCATGAATCAAGCAACTGGTGTGAATGAGCTTTACCTCTGCTGAACCATTAGGTTTGATTTACCAAACTTAGAGATGAAAGTCCTCTGGATTTTCCCGGGATTCCGGATTTTCAAATTTTCATGAAATTAACTCTGAAAAATGGAGGAAAAAATTGCCTAAAATTAATCCAGATTTTTTTTGGGCCAGGTACGGCCCCAGCGCAATGTTCAAATAGGTAGACAGGCAAGCTGACATACATGCAATAGACGCGAGTGTTAGGAACACGTTCAAGTGGTCATGGCTTGAGGAAAAGGACTTGAACGGAGATTTTTTTGTCCGACTACATTAGAAAGGTCGACAAGCCTGGTAAGTCAGTTAAAATTATATATAATATAGTATTTTGTATTTTCCAGAGTTTTCAGGAAAATCCACTATATCTCTACAAACTCTTGGTCCTCAAAGAACCACTGCTCAATGCCAGCAGCTTCCAGCTTCTGTCAATAAATAAATACATACATAATAAAATAAATGTCACTCTTCGGCCTCCTCTTAAGTACACACACAAAGTGACTTGCAATTTAAACTCCGTCGGTCTTTAAAGCATTTAACTAACACAACTGAAGCTTTCTAGTTTCTACGCACCATTGCTCAGAAAGTGAAACAAAAATTTGTCTCCCCAAAATGTCATTGAATTTCTTTTTCCCCTTAAACTTTTTGAATCCTCCGTATACCAGTTGCTGTTTGACTTTTCTGTGAATTTCTCAATCATATTCCACGCATTGTGGTATGGTCGCGAACACTTTCAAATCTTGGTTCGGGCCCTCCTGTGTGGGGTTTTCGCGTTCTCTTTGTACTTTATGGGATTTCTCCAGGTACTCTGGCTTCATCCCGCATTCCAAAAACAAGCATGCTGAGTTAATTATAGACTCTAAAGTCTACCTAGATCTCAGTTTAAAATTTTCCTACGATGTGACCCAAATGAGGACAAGCGATAAATAAAATGGGTGGATATTCTGATATTTAAGTTGCTTTCTGCACAATCAACACAACGGCAATTCCTAATGAAACGGCACAGAAGAGCAATTATTACCCTGATTATGCTGCATTGTGCTGAGTGCGTGCTTCAGTTCTGTACAATTCAAAGAGCACACATTCCAACTGAACCCTTGTTCTGTTGCAGCCTGTGAAGGATGACCCACATTTTCATCACTTCTTACTTAGCCAGTCTGAGAAGGTAAAGATTTACACCGTGTTTTCTTATCAATTGACACGTCTAGCTCTTGAGAAACAAAATATAGATTGTAGCCACACTTTCTTTTTCTTAACTCATTCAAACGGTCCCATCATGCATCGCAAAATGGGAAGCTCGGCTTTGTCAAATATGTCACTCTTAATACATCCTCTCATTTATTCTCTTAGCCTGCCTCGTCCATGGAACCGATAAGCAAGCGCCTAAAAATTATTGAAGAGGTATTTCAAAATGATATATATATTTTTATTCCTTTTGAAATACATTTTCCATCACTCTAAAAATGACAGCTATATGGCTTTTGATTTTACAGGATACAGCATCAACATCCATTCAAGCGGCAGACAGCACAGCCATTAATGGCAGTGTCACACCAACAGATAAAAGGTATTAAAAACACACACTGCAGTGTTTTGTGATTTGCCAAATTTCATCGACAAAATAACTTAGAATTTTTCTATTGTAATCAGATTTATAATTTTATCAAATGAAGCTCTGCTTGAGAAGTGGTACAGAAAATGGAAGGAGGCATATTTAAAACTGAAAGTAAAAATAGAAATTGCAATTATCTCAGAATTGTATGTGATTGAAGAGATTTTGGCAACAAGCTAAAAAACCAAAGAGGAATGTTTTGAGCACCGTTGCATTTTTTTAGATTATGAAGGAACAAATGTATGACGATATGCCACCGTTGGGGCTTTTAATTCAGAGATACGACACCGAAAGCAACACTGATGTCAATCAATAAATCCTCTCCGCTTTCTTACTCCTCTATTTGTGCAGTGTGGTATCTCAAAGTTGTGCACTAAACCAGAGATTTTAAATGACAAAGATCGGGGGGGATAAGATTGCATGAGCTCCACACTGGGATGTTGTGGGGAAAAGGGTCTCTACTTAGCAACATTCGTAATAACTCAGCCATCTCAAACAGAGCTCTTTTTGTGATTGAAATGGCATTTTTTAAGGTATGAAATTTCATTTCAATTTAATAGTGTCTCTAACTGTCACTGTTATCAATATTGCTCAAAGAAACACAAACAAAAATGTGCAAGCACATGCAGGTTTTCAAGCAGCTATTCCAACATGTTCTATTTTGAAGACAAAACAATTCAGCTTTGCTGATTCCAAAATGGAAAAAAAGCACTGATATAACAAGCTAGTTCTCTTTATACCCCAATTTACCTTATCAGAATAAGCTGGTTGTTTTTACACATTAAAAAATCAACGTAAACAAACTATTTTGATAATGTGCTTCATATATCAGAACAATATTCAACATTCTCTTTTGTGGAACCCCCAAAAATATTTACAAGTCTTAAAATTAAATGTTTGTTTATTATATAAAATTATTAGAAGAAATTCACCCCTGTCGCCTCAAAGTTTGAACCTGTCACTTCTTGCAAACATCTAGTCCACGTTCACGTTTGACCAGTTTTTCTTCTCTTTTACTCTCAGGATAGGATTCCTTGGTCTGGGGCTGATGGGTAGCGGCATCGTATCCAACCTGTTGAAAATGGGTCATGTTGTCACAGTCTGGAACCGCACAGCAGAAAAGGTACAGAACAAAGCCTACATCACTCATGCATACAGGGCATGTCAGAAAGGTTCCTGGTGTCACAAAATACTGTGCAATTCAACACCAAACCACAAACGGCTCATCTACAAAAAGTTCCTGTGATGTAGGCTCCTTAGTTCTGTGCGCGCAGAAGCGAGAGTTGTGGCCGATTAATCATGACACTTAGTCCTCTCACAATGCCATGGGCATCTTGCAATTCCTGGCTAAGGAAAACAACAGACCAGAGCAATGCCCCTATTATCCTGCCCTGGTTCTGTGATGTGTTTTCAGCTTTCCCATGCCCAAGGGTGTCATTGAGGGTAACCGGTTTAGACATGAACGGCATCAAAGGTGGCCATGACGTCAGAGCTGTGCAGGATGCTGAAAGAATCATTCTGAGAGTATATGCAGGCGTGGCACACAAGGCTGTGATCATGCGTTAGACCCCAAGGTGATTACTTAAAATGGGAAAACTTGTGGTTTCAATTAGAAAGTACTTTGTGACACCATTTCTGGAACCATATCTGTGTGGACTGTTAATTCACCTAATATGGAATTGGATAGAACCCATACATGTCCATACCACAGTGCTCACTGAATTAACAGCTCACTACACAGCGTAAATACCAAAATATATTTCTGTTATGCTTAACTTGAAACATGAGTATCTCGATGCTCTTGAATTGAAATATTGTTTATCTAATGAATGTTAAAACTTTAAATTTAGCCGGTGAAGCATTTTAGAACTTTCTTTTTTTTTTGGGGGGGGGCCTTCCAGTGTGACCTTTTCATCCAAGAAGGTGCCAGGCTGGGTCGAACTCCCGCAGAAGTGGCTTCAATGTGTGACATCACATTCTCATGTGTCTCTGACCCAAAAGCTGCCCGTGATGTGAGTTTGACAACAACTATCTTCCGGGAATGATGGTGATCTTGGTTTTGCTGACAGAACCATCTTTGTGTGTTTTGATCCAGTTGGTTTTGGGTCCCAGTGGAGTGCTGCAAGGAATCAGGCCGGGCAAGTGCTATGTCGAGATGAGTACAGTTGACCCAGAGACCATTACAGAACTCTCACAGGTGCTTCAACTCTTGGTGTTGATATACTTAAAGTGTATCTTGGTTTACAACCCCACTGTCCCAAAAGTTGACAACATTGTCTTTGAAATTTTTGCATTTAATTTGTTGCACACATTGTTATATTGAAATTTTTGCATTTAATTTGTTGCACACATTGTTATATCAGGTGATCACATCGCGGGGTGGACGTTTCCTGGAGGCTCCAGTGGCCGGAAGCCAGCAGCTCTCTAATGACGGGATGTTGGTCATCTTGGCAGCCGGTGACCGAACGGTTTATGAGGACTGCAGCAGCTGCTTTCAGGCCATGGGCAAGACTTCCTTCTTCTTGGGTATGTAGGGCGTAACGATGTCAGCCATCTTCTGTTACCTTTTTTTTTCATCAATTTTACTGTTAAAACTGGATACTGTAAAATGCAATCTGTGGTGCTCATCAATATGTAAACATTTATTTTAATTATATTTCACACACAAGCTGCCATGGTTTATAAGCTGCACAAATGACTCATACAAATATGAGAACAAAAAATAACTGCCAAACTGAATAAAGTAGCAACTGAAAATACTGCTCGTGGCACAACCAAATAAGCACAATAACAGCGTCCAGAAACTTGGGATAGTCATATTTTTTTAATGTCATTCTGCTGAGTACTTCCACTGAAATCAAGTGGTTTCAAAGTTGGAGGGAGGAAAAAACAATGCCCAAAGACGCTCCCTGACTTCAGTCTCGCGTTCAGCCATTTGCTCTCTGTGTTGACCCAATCTTTGAAAGCTGTATCCTATTTCAAGGCATCTGCGCCTTTTGCCTTTGTCTTCTTGCAGCAAGAAAGTTCTCCACGCTGCTGCATCCAAGGTTTGAATAAATATTCGGACACTTCACACGTGCAGTGGGCTGTTTGCATGCCTTCCAATTTGAAGGCTGCATGGCAGGCATTATGTAACATTTGCGGGATGATTATTTTGTGCCCCTGAGAGCAGATCTAAATGTCAATTTGAATGCTTCATTGTGTGCAGTTTTGAATTTAAAATGCGATGAATTGAAACCTTAAAGTGAAGCTCATAAAAAATTGTGAACTATGAATGAGATTTTGGTGATTTAGAGAAGCTAAGAATTTGACAATACGCACCAAGGATTGACAACCATCTGCAAAGAAGCCGCATTATTTTTTTGGAGTGGTGTATGTGTGGTTTCTAAAATGTTTTGTTTAATTGTTCCTTAAAAGGCGAAGCAGGAAATGCAGCAAGAATGATGCTCATCCTCAACATGGTGCAGGGCAGCTTCATGGCCACCATTGCAGAAGGACTCACTCTGGCGCAGGCTACTGGCCAATCACAACAGACCTTCTTGGACATCCTATGCCAGGGCCAGATGGCAAGCACCTTTGTGGACCAGAAATGCCAAAGTAAGCAAAGTGCACAAGGTTTCATAAAAGATGAGATGTCTCTGTACATTACACTTCACGTTCCAACAATATCTGAGGATCTTATTATTTGGCTCATTTTTCTTGTTGCCTTATCTAGATATCCTACAAGGCAACTTTAAGCCAGACTACTATTTGAAGCACATTCAGAAGGATTTAAGGCTAGCCATCTCCATGGGTGACATGGCCAACCATCCAACTCCGATGGCTGCAGCTGCCAATGAGGTACTTTTTACTTTCAGTGGTATGCGTTTTGATGCATGGAGTTCTCTCTGCTGCATTTGTTTTCTTTTCTCTTCTGCCTTGAAAAAAAATAAGTAATTAATACGTGGACAAAATAAATTGCTGTTTACTGTAATTGAACAGTAAACATTACCTAACTGTGACCCGGTCAGTGTATATTGCAATTAAAATTTAATCAATTTTCTTGTGACTTGGTTACATGGCCAATCAGGTACAGTGGGCAGAACAGGTATTTGATACACTGCTGATTTTTGAAGTTTTTCCACTTAGAAAGCAGGTCTGTAATTTGTATCAAAGGTACTCTTCAACTATGGGGGACATAATCTAAAACAAAAATCCAGATAATCACAGTCAATGATTTTGAAATAATTAATTTGCATTTTATTGGAGGACATAAGTTTTGATCGCCAATCAACCATTCACAATTGAGGATCCCACAGACCTATGAGTTCTTCTTGAAGAAGCCCTCCTGTTTTTCACTCATTACTTGTATTAACTTCATCTGTTTGAACTCTTTCACTGTATAAAAGACACCTGTCCAGACAGTCAATCAAACAAACTCCAACCTCTCCACAATGGCCAAGACAAGAGAGCTGTGCAAGGACATCAGGGATAAAATTATAGACCTGCAAAAGGCTGGGGTGGTTTACAGGTCCACAGGGAAGCATCTTGGTATGAAGGCAACAGCTGTTGGCGAAATTATCAGAAAAAAGTTCAAGACGACGTTCAATCTGCCTCAGTCTTCCATGCAAGATCTCTCCTCGTGGGGCATCAATGGTCCTGAGGACGGTAAGGGATAAGCCCAGAACTACATGGCAGGACCTGGTGAATGACCTGAATAGAGCTCGGACCACAGTGTCAAAGAAAACCATCAGTAACACACTTCTGCCATCGTGGATTAAAATTCTGCGGTGCACGTAAGGTGCCCCTTCTCAAGCCAGCGCATATCAAGGCCCGTCTGAAGTTTGCCATTGACCATCTGAAGAGGAGGAATGGGAGTTCATGTGGTCTGATGAGACAGAAGTGGAGCTTTTTGGTCAAAATTTCACTCACTGTGTTTGGAGGAAGAGGAAGGAATGAGTACAACACCAAGAACACCATCCCAACTGTGAAGCATGGAGGTCGAAACATCATTCTTTGAGGATGCTTTTCTGCGAAGGGAACGGGACGACTGCGCCGTATTGAGGGGAGGATGGATGGGGCCATGTATCATGAGATCTTGGCCAACAATCGCCTTCCCTCTGTAAGAGCATTGAAGATGGTCGTGGCTGGGTGTTCCAGTATGGCAATGACCCGAAACACAGCCAGGGCAACTAAGGAGTGGCTCCGTAGGAAGCATCTCAAGGTCCTAGAGTGGCGTAGCCAGTCTCCACAGCTGAATCCAAGAGAAAATCTTTGGAGAGAGCTGAAAGAGTCTGTGTTGCCCAGCGACAGCCCCAAAATCTGAACGCTCTGGAGATCTGTATGGATGAATGGGCTAAAATCCCTGCTGCAGTGTCTGACAACCTGGTGAAACATTATACAGAGATGAAAGTCCTCCGGATTTTCCCGGAATTCTGGGTTTTTCAAATTTTTATGAAAATCTGTCCGGAGAATTGAGGAAAATTTGCCGAAAATTAATCCGGATATTAGTTGACAACATTGAACGAAGACGCGTTTGAGTTTGTTGTTTTGCTTTCACGAGCATAGCCGTGTTGAAACACTAACACTAGTAACAGTAAAGAGATTTTCGTCTCTTTATAAACTCACTTGCTAAACCCCAGTGGAACGAACAAAAGACACCGTGGACAAGACAGTTGTCGTAAAAAATATATTTGGACAAAAAGGGAAACACACAGATTGGCAGAAAAACGTGTCCGTCCGACTTCGAGTGTCGTCTCGGCTAGCTTAGTTTAGCTGTTGTCGTGTGTGACGTCGGGTGTGTGACGTTGTTTCGTCAGCGCTGATTGGTTGAAATCAAAAGACGCGCTTGCGTAAATGTTCGCGCTGACGCACGCACAGCAAAGAGCAGCGGACAAGCTTGAGTGGCGTCGCCACAACAGTAATAATACCCTCGTCCCGCATTCTCACGGCCTCGCCATATCTCTGAGATTTCGAAATTTCGGCGAGAACGGGAGCCACAAAGGGTGCATGAGCCCGATCACTTAAACTTGATTTGCAGGCCCGAGCCCGAAGCAAACCCGAGATTTCATATTTTATTTGTGAGGA